AATACAGTTACTTAATGCTATGCATTTACCTTAAATAATTCTAGGATCAAAGACGTAAGCAAATTGCCTACTACACAGAAAATAATGCACAGAAAAGAATTCATTAGAATGAATTCGAAGGGAAATTTAGCATTAAATACATCAACATGTAATTAATCAATAAGTATAAGTGAATACATATGACAAAAAGTTGAAAAGGAAAAAATAAAATAAGTCAAAGGAAAGTAGACGAAGTAATTAAAAAAATAGAAATTAGCAAGTTAAAAACAAAAAAAGTAAAACCTATTGTTTGAAGCTAAGTAAAAAAAAAAAAATAGCCCAATTAAAGAAAAATAGAATATCAACTTTTGCATGTGTTTGTAAAATTTCCATAAAAACATGTTTCTTTACAGAGGAAGTACAAAAATATAAAATGAGAAAATATAAGAGTAACTTATTTCATAGGAGAAATAATAGCATTTAAACTGTTGGAAATAAAGACAAGACTTAAAAGAAAAGATCAATGTATGATTGCAGAAAATTATTCAAGAGAAGAGATTTCACAAAAAAGTTAAAATTTAAATTGATAAAAATATTCTATCTTATATCAGAAAGTGATAATCTCTGAAATTTATGAAGAGCTCCTACAAATTGATATGAGAACAACCCACCCAATTGGAAATAGACAAACTCAGGCCAGCAGTGGCAAGGTGTGTAAAGCAAATGGATTCTATATTGCTGGTTGTGTGGTTTGAGTCCTGGACCCAGTGTTTGAAAAAAAAAAAAAACACCTATGACAATAGTGACATATAATTTTTATCTATTAGACTTAAAAAAATAAAAATAAATTGATAACCAATTTTGCATATTATTGCTAGGATAGGCAACTATTTTAAAACCTTAAAGCAATTTGAGAGTTTCTGTAAAAATTAGACAGATATATACTCTTTGATCCAGCAACTCCAGTTTTAGGAATATATTTATGTGTATTTATAAACAAACATGCACACACACACACACACACACACACATACACACACATTTAAAATGAGGTTTACCAAGGTAGTCATGACAGCATTTTTTTGTAATGGTAGAAGATTGGAAACAAACTAAATGTCTTTGACAGATGAACTCATTAAATATATTACCATGTATGCATAAACTCAGTATCACACAACTATAAGAAAGAATAAGGAAGTGTTTTATGTAATGCAATAGAAGATGGATTGTGAAGTGAAACAAGCATGATACAGTAAAATGCACAAAAAAGGAAACAAAAAAGAATACATGTCTTTTTGGCTTGTTTAGAAATAAAAATTGGTTGGAAGAATAAATAAGAAACTAGTAATAATGCTTATTTTTCAGGAGAATGGAAACAATTTATGGGGAAATGATGAGATTATACAATTTCTTTTTGATGTTTGAACCATATAGTGAATTGCTAAATTAGGATTATGAGTGAAAACTTGAAGTCAGGTTAAGTTACATAAATTTGGCAAATGATATTAAATTATATTTTATATTGGAGATTTCTAACTATGAGAAATATGATCAAGTCATAGTTTAAGGAGATTAATTTTTCAACTTGACATACAAATTGAATTAAGAAAGGGAAAGACAGAAAGCAGAGACACTTGCTAGAATATTTCTGTGATACTATAGATATGGGGGTAATAAGTATCTAAATTAATATGGTGCCAATAAAAATGCAAAGGTTCAGATAAATGTATGTAAGGCAATCTTTAAAATAAAAGCAATAAAATAAAGATGTAAAAGATATGATTAAAAGAAAAATGTATACAGGATACGATAAGATTCTTTGTAGCTTAGACTCCTGAAGAATAAGGACAGGGACCAGTAGTTAGTGTAATGGCTATGTCGCTGGACTCTCATGTAGTCAACCGGGGTTCGAGTCCCAGATCTGGTGGCTTAAACTCGTGCCGGGCGCGTGTGCATGCGTGCCCAAGATCCCAAGAGGAGAATGGAGGAGAAGGGATTGCAGCGTGGCCATCCCCCCTGAGGGGTGATTTCTCGCTTTCTGTCTGTCTCCCTCTGTCTGGAGAGTGCACACGCCCTATAGCAAAAACCTCTCCCCCCTAAAAAAAAAACCCCCCAAAAAAAAAAAAAAAAAAAAAAAAAAAGAAAGAAAGAAAGAAAGAAAGAAAGAAGGTTGTAGAAACAAGAGTAAAATCCAAAATTAAACAGACCATTATTTTTTTCTCTCTCTCTTGGCTAGAGGGCATGCACAATCACCAGAGAAAAATGGAGAGACAGAAGAAGAGGGAGAGGGGAAAGCATCATCCATGGGCATGTTCGTACCACAGTCCCTTCTCCTTCATCTTTCTCTCCTTTTGGGATTTTGGTGCACACATACATGTGCTCAGTATGTTGGTCAAGCTGCCAAGTCTGGGATTTGAACTACCCAAATGGCCACTTAATATCCAGTTGTATTAACCACCAGGCCATGGAGCAAGCCCTACACAGACTCTTTTCTGCATTACCATCAGCTGTCCAGTATACTAGGTCATGTTTTATAGGCAAGTTAGTTTAGCAACCCACAAAAATCTTCACATACAGGTAAGGAAAAGTACGAAAAGAATTATGTTAAAACAATGTAAGTTTGGGAATGGTAAGAATATTTAAAATTAAAATATTATATGATCACAACAGAAATTAAAAAGATTCCTTGCTCTGCCCTTGGGCAGCGAAGAAAAAAATAAAACATTTTATATCCCCCAATGAAAAAGAGACTTTCTGGAAAATACAGTACTCAATAATTATGATCCAATTTAATTCATAGAAGAACTAACAACTTTTTTTAGAGCATTTTTTGCTATAGAGTGTGTGGGCTCACCAGAGAGACAGAGAGACAGAAAGTGAGAAATCGACTCCCAGAGGGGTGGCCATGCTGCACTCCCTTCCCCATTCTCCTGTAGGGATTTTGGACATTCATGCACATGCATCCTGTGTGAGTTTCAAGCTACGGGTCTGGGACTTGAGCCGTAGACAGCCATATTAGAGGAGTCTAGTGACATAACTATTAAGTCAACTGCTGATCCCAGAACTAACAATTTTTTTTTTTTTTTGAGAGAGAGGGTTTTTTTTTGCTATAGGGCGTGTGCGCTCACCAGAAAGACAGAGAGAGACAGAGAGACAGAAAGCGAGAAATCACCCTCCCCGAGGGGGGATGGCCACACTGCAATCCCTTCTCCTCCATTCTCCTCTCGGGATTGTGGGCACGCACGCACACTCGCCCAGCGTGAGTTTAAGCCACTGGGTCCGGGACTCAAACCGCGGTCAACTACGTGGGAGTCCAGCGACATAGCCATTACGCTAACTGCTGGTCCCCAGAACTAACGACTTGAATAAATTGAAGAAATGTTGCAATTTGAAGCTAATTTCTTAAGGTCCTAGCTCATTACTTTATAAAGGCATTATTAAATTTTTATAACTTTGTATAAAGTTCAAATAAAAATGATGTAAATAGAAATTATAATTTTTTGATAAGCTGTTAAAACAGCTTTATATTTCAGTATTAAGGAGATATATGATATAATTGTTGCTTAAATTTACAATAGAAGGTTGCACAGTGGTTAAGGCTCTGAACTACCACATGGTCAACTGCAGTTTGAATCCCAGACAAGCAGCTTGAAACTCACACTGGTGCATGTAAATGCATGCCCAAAATCCTAAGAGAAGGTAGAGAAGAGACTGTGGCATGGCCATCCCCTCTGGGGGCGGGGGTGATTTCTCACTTTCTGTATCTCTGTCTCTTGTCTCTCCGATCACTGTACATACTCTACAGCAAAAAAGTCTCTCACAAAATTTACACATTATTATATACTCATTTTTTAAAAAAACAAGAATAAGTAGATAAACATTTTTTTTTTTTAAAGTGAACCACTCAGGGGCCAGCAGTTAGCATAATGACTATGTCGCTGGACTCTCATGTAGTCAACAGCTGTTCGAGTCCTGGACCCGATGGCTTAAACTCATGCTGGGCAGGTGTGCATGCATGCCCAAGATCCCGAGAGGAGAACGGAGGAGAAGGGATTGAGGTGTGACTATCCCCCCTGAGGGTGATTTCTCGCTTTCTGTCTCTCTCTGTCTTTCTGGTGAGCACATGCACCCTATAGCAAAAACCTCTCCAAAAAAAAGAAGAAAAAAAAAAAAGTGAACCACTCATAATCCCACTATCCAAAGATCACTACTTACAAAAAATTTAACATATTTTAAAGACATCCCTAAAAATCATTATCTATCCTTGCATTTTTATATATATATATAATTTTTTTTTTTTTTGGTGTTTGCCAGAGGGTGTGTGCACTTGCAGGAGAGAGAAGGAAGAGATAGTGAGAGGAAAGTGAGAAATCAAACTCTGGGGGTGGGGTGGGGGATGGCCACACTGCAATCCCTTTCCTTCCATTCTCCTCTTGGGATTTTGGGCACACAAACAGAAATGCCTAGCATGAGTTTCAAGCCACTGGGTCCCAGACTCGAACCATGGTTGGCCATGTGGGAGTCCAGCACTGCAACCACCACACCACCTACTGGCCCTTACATTGATGTTTTACTTCACACTGTATTGTATTATCACTTTTCATTCTTTGTCAGTGAATACACATCTTTCCAATCTGTGGTCCAGAGGAATTGTATTGTTTGCCCCTGTACCTATAGTATATCTTTCCCTCTAATTCAGCTCTACCCATAAGTTTCTGTATAGTACTACCAATTTCTAGTTGATACTTATTTGACAGTATTAATGTATCTTAAAATAATAGTCCTTTAAAATGTCTTAAAAATATTGCACTTATACCTCAGATATTAACTTTATTTTGGGCCAAAAATAGTGTCAAAGACATTTATTTTTGATTCTTGCAACCAAATTTATGGTTAAATTTCAAAAACTAGATATCTAATTGCCAACATTACAAATTCATGTTATAGGAGTTATTAAAATAAAGCAATAGATTACTGCAGTGAACATTACCAGAAGCCTGAGAAATGCCACTCATGTTTACCTGTAGTAGGAGACTTGCAGCGCTCAAGTTCCAGGGGAACTGGACTGTCATTTAGCTCTGTTAAACCTGAAAATACAAGTATAAAAAATGAAATACATTTTGCTGGTAATTTTATGGTAATCATTATTTCTTGATTCTTAGAAGTTTTAAAAGGATTCCCCCCACCCCCGTGAAAACTACTTTTCCATGCCTATGTTGTGCTAATTATTCTGAAAAGTTGATTAAACAAGTGATACAGAAAAAAATAAGCAATAACTTTGATTGACATACAAAGGGTAATTAAACATGGATGGTGGAAAGATATAAAATCTCTTTTCTTAACTTCCAAATAGGAACTCTAATAAATGACCAAATTTTTCTGAAAATAGACCAAGAATAATATAAGTTAGAAAGAGTTTTTAAAAGACCTAGTAAGGACTACTCTTAGGAGAAATGATTATTGGTTTTTAAAAGACCTTCTACTCATTTTAAGTTTTTATATTTATTTATAAAAATGCAGGATCATATATTATATACTAACTGATTTGCTGAATTGTATCAAAGTCCTTCTTATAACAAACCTACATTTTTCTCTTATTTCTTTTTTGTTGTTGTTGATGACAATGTATATGGTAATCTTTTTTTAAAAATTTTTATTTTCTACATTAATTCACTATACACCATCACAACACACCAATGAATTTTCCATCCAAAATACACTGTGCATTGGTTCAATCAAGCACATCAACATACATGTTCTCAGCAAATAATTTTCCAATTCTTACATCCTGCATACCTTGCCCTTTGTCTTGCGAACCCTGATTCCCCGCCCCCCCCCCTCTTCTATGTCCCATCTTCCTCCTCCATTGTCCCTGGCATCCATGGTTGCCCTCCATGCCTTCCACCACCCCCCATTCAATTGTTCTGCCAATGAACTTAATTAGTCTACTTAATTAGTCTAAATATATCTGATAGCTAGCACAGCTGACACATACCTATACATGTACCCAAATCTGACCCTAGGCATAAACCCCAGTGAGTAGAATGAACATACTATAAAGTAGTACCCAGAAATAAGAGACAAACCTACATTTTTCTCTTATTTCTAATACTGCCATTCTGTCACATTCTGCACAAATACAAGGATAGGCACAACACATTGACAAACAATTTGTTAATTCTCACTCTTTGACAGTGTGCATTGCTGTGGCCTTTGTAAAATGCCCTTCATTATAGTTTTCCTAGCCTTGTTTTCAGTCTCATATACTTTTTTCCTTTGTAAATAAATATACAGACTTTCTACTTTAATGTAAATCTCCAATCCCAGAAATACTTGACAGCTATTATCAATGGCCAAAATTATCTCTGTTTATATTCCCTCCCATCATTCACTTCTTCACACAATTTGTACAAAAAAAAAAAATAGAATAATGCAACTGAAAAGACTCATGTGTTAAATAATCCCAGTCCTAAATTTATAGATGAGAAACTATGTTCAAAGAGTTTAAGCTAGTCAAGATCACAGAACTAAGTCAATGACAGACCTTGAATAGAACCAGAACTCATAGTACAGATGTCTCTTTTTTGTTTGTTTTTGTTTTGTTTTTGCTATAGGAGACAGAAAGAGAGAGAGAGAAAATGAGATATCACTTCCTAGGAGTGATGGCCATGCTGCAATCCCTTCTCCTCTATTCTCCTGTTGGTATTTGAGGAATGCACACACACATGACTGGTGTGTTTTTGAAACCACTGGAAGGAGATTCAAAACATGCACTTGGCCTTGTGGGATCCAGCTGACTTACCCACCACACCACCTGGCTAGATACATAGTAAAAACTTTTACAAAGTACATTTTATGCATTAATATCATTTCAATTACTCATAGAGCTTTTTTTTTCTTTTTCCATAATAGAAAAATAAAGAATTCCATGTGCATGCATGTGACACACTCAGAGAGAAGCATCCTCCATAGGGTTTGGTCATGCTATGATAATCTTACTCTACTCCTTTAGCCAGTCAGATCCTGGGCACTCATATATGTCCATGAATTTTAGAACAACCTAGCCAAGGATTAGAATCATAGCTGCCATGTAGGATCCAGCTTCTTTTGAGCAGCACATTTCCACTGTCCTATAGAGCCAGACCTACTTACAGAGCTTTGAGTGCCAGGCTTATTGTTCGTTTTATTTCTTAATTCATTGAAAGTTTTTAAGACTTCTAATTTAATGTCTATCTGATGTTTAAATTTCTATTTATAATCATAATATACTTATAATATTTGCTGATATAGGTACTACTATTAAATCTGGAAGCAGATGTTCATCAACCGAAACTGTGCTGAGCATTTTAACCCTAGAGATATGGACTGGATAGGAAAAATTTATGATTAAATAAGCAATAAGTGCTAATCCATAGAACTATGGAACTACTTCAGGTATTTCTTAAAAGTTTATTGACTTAAACAGCCCTTGTTATCTGACAGTAAATTAAAAGCAGTAGTTTATAAAAGGCAGATTACTAGAATTAGAAGCATTAAGAAAAGTAACATAGCACAACAGATGAGGAATAAGCAGAGAGAAGAGCTATAATGAATATTGAATGATCTTTGATCATTTAAAAGAAGTGTTTCGCAGACCTCAGAGACTTAGAGAGGCCATTACTACAAATTGAGCAATCAATCCAAGTTTTTGAATGACTAATATTTCATATATTCTTTGTAGTAATATTAATAATTGCCATGAATATTTATTATTTTATACTTAATACTCTGTTAAGTACTTTAAATAAATTATCTCTTTCAGGGCCAACAGGTGGTGGGATGGTTAAGGTGCTGGACTCCCACATGGCCTGCTGTGGTTTGAGTCCTGCTTTCTCACTTTTTCTTGGAGGAGTCCGACCCAGCGGGGTCCAGGATCTGTCTGAGCCCCCTGACCTTTGAGCACAGCCTTGGTCAGTTCAGCACATTGGCGAGGCTGCTGCTGTATGCCCCCTGACATATGAGCAAAAGCTTGGGTCAATACGCTCCGGAAACTGTGGTAGCCTTGCTGGGAAGTGACTCCCCGATTTACTACTATAAAAGAATTACATAGTTCTCTCATACATCTTTGTAGTAGGATTTCTTGAAAGTTCCCCGACCGCTCCCCTTTACCCTGACCACCTACTGGTCCACCCGCTCTCGTCCCATGGTAACTAATGTTCTAACAAAATACATAACAGTGGTGCCATAGGCTACACAAGTGGATCCACAACAAAACACTTAGGTACCATAAACCCACTTTAAAGTTTTTCATTAACGTGTTAGTCACTTTACTTTTGACTTAAGAAAAACCGGTACTGTTAATTGGAAAAGCTGTTTAAAGTATCCCCTTATTCTCACCAAGTGAACAGTAGGCTCATCCCTTTACAATAGATAGATATATTAGGATTCCTTTAATTAAATTTTAGATCCCTATAGAATTATGTAAGTATCATTCTTTATTGAGATCCATAAGAACTAATACCTATATACTTGAGATTTTCTTTTAGTAATCACAAGACGGCTGCTGCTGAACATCGGCTGATAATTAACTCTGCTTGCTGGAATTGTTTCCTGAAACTGCACTCCTTGAAGTTACCAGGAACCTGCTTTCATCAATCAAACAATTGTTGAACTGTATCGATGATTAACAGACCTGCCCTTAAACAAATCCTGAATGAAATTTATGATCCCTATTGTTAAAACTTTATGAATTGATAACTAGAACAAGTAGCCCCTCACCCATTTACTTGCCTGTATCACATTTTCAATAAAAAGGCACAATGATTCCTAGCAGTTGTCACTCCTCAGAGAGCAATCTCTGGGGGTGTCTGGCTGAGGACGTGCATGAAAAAGGCACTGAGACCTTAGTCTTCCTTTCCTGCATCACCTCCAACGAGTCAACCCACCCCCGCTGAGGCTGGTCCCTGGCAGACAGATTCATCTTATTTCACATTGAACATTATACTATGTTGTGCACATTTGATAACAATTCTACTAGTTGTTATTTTTAAGTATATATTGAATTCAACAATGACATTGTTTACTGTTTTTGTATACCATTACATAATCTGTTCAACTTGTTTACACGCATTTTCATGTCTGTTAACCATTTTCTCCTGAGTTCCACCCCTGTCCCCAAACTTCTGTTTTCTACCATTAATCCCTCTACTTCTAAGCCATTGAGTCCTTCAGTTTCCACCATAGAGTGAGGATATTCAGTGTGTTAAGCAGAGACCTACAGTACTTGTCTTTAGCCTGCCTTATTTCATATAGTATTGTGTCATTATAGGAATTTTTACTTAACATTCCTCATTGTGAGACATTGAAGTTTTCCAGTCTTTACTGTAGTAAATGATGCTTTAACAAATATGTGCAAAAGTTTTAGGGCTTAGTTTTTTTTTTTGTTTGCTATGTAAGATTTCCATTGTCTTTCTCCTACGGTATGACAGAGGCTGTACGTTTTTCATTCTTCTCATCAATTTATGGGTGTTCTGACAGCTCAATATCCTTCCAAACATGAAGTAATATCAGTCTTTTACATTTATAGACCTTCTAATAATAATATATTACTATTATTTTTTAATTTAAATTTCTGTGATTACTACAGTTGGAATGTTTTTATGTACTTAATGGCTATCATGTGTCTTTCTTTGTGATGTTCCTATTCAAATATTTTTCTATTTCTTTTTCTGTTGGACTACCTCTTATGATAGAGTTGTAGAAAATCTCTTTATTTCAAGTAAGAGTCCTTTGTCTGAAGTAGTTTTTATAATGGCTAGCAGGCGGCATGGTGGTTAAAGGCACTGAATTCCCATATGGCCGACCACAGATCAAGTCCTGGTACTGGTGGCTTGCTTTCTCACTTTCCCTCCCTCTTTTTCTCTGTCTCTCTTTGATTAAATTGGAAAATAGTAATAATAATAAAAAATAAAGTTAATTAAAATTATTTTTAAAAAGTAGTTATTGTGAATAATTTCTTATAGTATGTGAGTTATCTTTTCATTTCTTTTTTTTTCTTTTTTTGGAGAGGTTTTTGCTATAGGGTGCATGCGCTCACCAGACAGCCAGA